ACACGTGAACTTGTAATATCCAGTTTTGACAACTTGTTAAAACAGTTGGTATTTAGTAATAATTTGAGAGAAACAATTTTTGTAAAAATACAGTGATGAATAATATAGGTGGGTTGAGATCTGAGGAGTTTAATATTTTTGCAAAGGCTGTTTATGAATTCTTCAAATCAAATAAGCAGCGATAAATAATGACTGGAGTGTCACAATGCAAATCTGTGCTTAAAGGACATTTGGAATTAGTTATGACCCCCTTTGCCCTCCTCTTAATTCCAACCCCCAGCTTGGGTCCAAATCCTTGACTGTCCAGTGCCCTGGCATGTCCTCCTGACTTAAGAGGCGCTATATAAACATAATTAGTTGTTGTTATGCATGAATAATGCAAGCACATGTTTAGTCATGCACAAAAAAGTTAACAGCTTTCTAAAGTATCCACTTCCATAACACAAACTGATTCTGAACACTGCCTTTCTACACTGAGAGGAACACAGACTTTTGAACTCAGGGGATGTCCTCAATGTTAGGAAATGTAGCATCATTTACATCTTCCTGCATCATTATGCTTTTATAACAGACAACTAAACTTTACATCAACCCATTTAGATTGCAGTAATAAGCATAGTGGTGAACAGCATATTTGACAAGATGCTATTGAGTTTAATATTTATGGAAGATTTTATTAAAAATGCATAACAATCATGTCATTCTTTTTCTTATGTTCGTAGCCTAGTTGTGTTTGTACATAAAACATTACATTTATTATACAAAGTTAACTTTTAATTATTTGACTTATATAAGCATACATATATATATATATGAAAATCCCAGGCAGTCAAAACCAAATTCAACCAGCCAAGGTGTTAGCTTGAAGTCTTAACATAAGTAAAAGTAAAATAGTTCTTGGTATCTCCTTTCCAACTGAACCTGAGATTCCAGTTAACTTATTGTTGCCTTTCCAAAATCAGATATTGGACTGAAAATATTTATGTACATTGAAAACCAAGTAGGATTGAACATGTGGTGATTTCCAACAATAGCAAACCTTTTGTCTCAGACTTATAACAGGATTTTCCATCACAGTTAGGGTTCAGAAAGTTTGTCCATGTTAGTAAACAATAATGCACGTGAGTCTCCCAATATCAGAATAACTTGCATTTGAACCGAATGGCTCATTTAGTTCACATCTCACTATCTGTCCACAAATTTCAATGGCTTAATGGATAACCTAACCACTTACTGATTATAAGTTCTACTCTGTGAAGTGCTTTGAGAAGTCTCAGTTATGTGATAGGGGACGATATCAGATGCAATTATTATTATGTTGATTCAAATTTCCCCTGGTGGCAAATACCGCAGGTTTACATAACATTAACTTGGTATTGTTCTATTAATACAAATTTGTCCATACTGATTGCATGCTGATTCCCTAGAGTCATATCACCTATCTCTAATCTTCCAATTCACTCTTTTCCTGCACCTTAAAATTGTGAAATATCTTACGTGACTACTTCATCCTGCAGCTTTATTTTCCCCGGTATACACACATATACACACACACGCAAAATAGCAAATTTATGTTTATATAGAGTCTTTCATGGTTCAATTGCTTCACAGAGACTGAACTGAGGGGAAGATGGCCAAAAGTACAGTTGTAAAGAATGATCTTAAGGCAGGCTTTAGAAGTGGGGAGGGAGAGGGCCAGGCAGAGAGAATACAGGATTCCAGAGAGTAGGGGCAGAATAGCTGAAAACTCGTCCAAGAATGGTGGGGTGAGTCGGGCGGGGGACATACAGCAGGCAAGTGTTTGCTGGGCGGAGGAAAATTCACATCTTATCTGGATCCCATCATAAAAATCAATAGAGTCAAACTTTTTTATTTTTGGTAAAATACTTTTAATAAAGCAATATTTTGAATATAGCTTAGCATATATTTCAATATCAATTACAATGTGGCACAACATTTTTTGTTTTGTTACAAAATTACAGCTGTGATGGAAAAATATTAAACGCTGAAGACCCTAGGTACAGTACTCTAACACATTAGCATGATTGATTCAGGGCTATCCAGGACCTTTAATAGCACACTTAAACAAAACCAATAACATCTGTAACTCATGCTTTAGTACGAGTGATCTCAACTTTGCAGTGGTCCCTGAAATGTCGGTATGTCTAGATGATGCTGAACTTCAGTCATTTGTAAAGTCAATGATCATGTCTGCATAGATGCTTTTCTGGTAAATATACAGAGGCTGACATCTTATTTACATCTATTGCATGCAACATTTTATTTTAGAAGTAGAGCTCTTTGCAAAATGAACCTTAGTTACGATGAATCAATACAATTTACATAAGACAAACAATTTTAGGCACACTGTAAACTGTCCTTACTGCCACTGAGTATGTCAAAATTGACATTTGCAGATCAAGTTTTCTTGCACATCAGAAGTTTTAAATGAAATATCACAATGGTTAGTTATACAGACTGATGGAAATGAGCCAGCCAGCCATCAGGTTTCTTCTGATATGGCAGATACACAGTAAATGTTGCTAGTTGTGTCAGTTTTACTTGGTCAGTTATTTAGACTCTGTATTAAATTCGTCTGAATTAAAATGACAACAGTTTTTCCACGGAAATCATCAACTCTTGCAGCATAAGATCAATTGCACTCTGGGATCTATGTGCTATAATTAACTGGAAGAAACCACAACTTTCACCTCAAGAGGCTTGAGGGTTAAGCCTTTCACTGATACTCACAAGGGTTGAGCCCAAAGGGGTAAATTTTAATAAACAAAATTTTTATAAATAATCCACCGTCTTGCTTCCCCTTACCTCTCCGACCACCTAACCCCTTACCACCCTGTTCACATCCTCCGCTCAGAGGGCTCTGGCCTGCTTCACGTCCCCCACCTTGCTCGCCCCACTATTGGCTGGCAGGCCTTCTGCCACTCTGCATCACCCTCTGGAACTCCATCCCACAGTCGCTCCGTTTTGCCTCCTCCCTCACCACCTTCAAGGCGGGGGATGTGAAGCAGGCCGGCGGAGAGAGTGAACAGGATGGTAGGGGGTTAGGTGATCGGAGAGGTAGGGAAGAGCAAGACTGTGGAGGGCTTTGAAGGTGAGGACCAGCATCTTGAACTGTATCCTCTGTGTGATGGGAAACCAGTGGAGTTGGGTGAGGATGGGGGTGATAGGGTCGTGGAGCCTAGTGCGGGAGAGGACACGGGCTGCAGATCCTCCTCTTCAACCTTGCTTTCAATCTCCTGCTTCCCCCCTGCCCTCCAACCTCCCTCACCCCAACCCCCAGCTCGGTTCCATAACTCTGTCTGTCCAGCGCCTTGGGACGTCCTCCCGACATGAAAGGCACAATACAAATGTAATTTTGTTGTTGTTGTTTGAGCTTCATTATATAATAATAATAATTATTATGTTGCATTTGATATAACACCTTAACACATAATTGAAAAGTCTGAAAGCAATACACAGGATTTTTATAAAGTGTAGTGGCTATGTATTTGTAGGTAAACATGGCAGCCAATTTGAACTCAACAATGTCCCACAAACATCCCTGAAGTAGATGTTCATTTTTATTTGGGTATGTGTTAGTCAGGATACCAGAGCAAACTCTCTTCTCTTTTCGAGTCGTCCCATAGGATGTTTAGTGTCCACCTGAACAGGAGGAAGGGATGTTGGTTTAAGCACAACATTAAAAATTGTATCACTTTCCTTGTGACTTGTGGCTGGGTTGTGAAATTAACGCAAAAGTATATAACAATTATTTTTAATCTCTCTGGGTGGCGTTTGAGATCCCATGTAGAATGAGGTCTAACAATCGTAGCTCACATAGAGTGGATATTCATTACCAATTAAACATTTTCAAAGTATATTTTCATAATTTTACACAGATTCAGATGAAACAAAGCTTTTTATTATTAATAATTGTGCAAGCAAAACAACTAATTTTAAACTTACAAAACATGCATTTTTAGAAACTGTTAATTGAGATACTGTATAACAATCATTTTTATTCTTTGAAATATTTTAAACTGGTTAAATTTACATTTTGGGGGAGATCTCAATTTAGTTTTTATTCCAGCGATGTATTTTCTGACCTTTTCTTTAAGAACTTTAAGAATATTTCTCCATTGTATATAATTTTTTTTATATTTGTATTATTTGAACTTCTTAATATCAGAGCTCAATTGTAAAGTAGTACTAAAGTTTTTTTTATTAACCTGGTGCAAAGAACAATTTTTTCATGCATTATGATCTACCTTTTGGCTGATGACACTGTGCTGTGCAAAATTCAACTAGGTTTGGTTTGACTGACTTGGAAAACTAGAGCGAAGTTGATTTCTTCTATTTGTCACACTGAGGACACCCTGTCTTTTAGCCTGAAGAACTTGGTTCAAACACTGTCAAAGATAAGTGATCAAGTGATCCTACAAGTGGGAATGAACCGATGACATTTTAATCAAATCCCTGGGATGCATGTGTCCCTTAGGCACACTGGAAATATAGTAATTGTTTGGTAAGGTTGGCTTTGAGGCAATAATTAAGTGGCTGGAGAATACTCTTACCTAAGAGCTGGGAAATCTGAGACTTCAATAATGGGGATTACTCCTTGCGCTCAAAGCTTGTAAAAACGTAATGATATATGTGCATAATGATCAAGTGTCCCAGATCTAAAGTGCTGGCACAGTATGTGCTCATTTATGAAAATGCCTGCACCAGCACTTGCTAATTCTTAACACCAGCAACTACAGTGACCGACCACTTGCTGTAGTGACCTCCACTACCATCTATGTATCGGCCAAGAAAGGTGCAAAATGGCCAAATAAATCCATTCCCCATCTCTGTAAACGTGTATCTTAGTGATTTTAAAAAAGAGGTTAATCACAAAAAAGCAACAACCTTTGGGACATTATACTTTCAACAAAACCCTGGAGCTTCTTAAGCACAAGTAACATGAATTATAACTCAGTGCATTTAGTTAAAGGAACAATTTACAAAGTGTCTGTTTTAATCTGTTCATTGTTATTTAATGCAGGTGATGGTTTTGTCTTCATTGCCTCGGTTCCTCCTCTTGATGTTTCCTGGAAGAAGCGACTTGGCATCCACATGGATGTTATGATCCTTTTATACTCCTTTCTAAAATTTTGGTTCATCAATCCATATATTATTGCATTAAGGCAACTGTTAAAGTAGGCCATGAAGTAGCTGAGGATAAACAACCATTCAGGGATTTTTGGTGCAATCTTCAATGGATTGATAGCCACAGCCAGGCCTATGAAGTTCAGGGGTGCCCAACAAACTGCAAACAGCACAAATACTACAAACATAGTCAGAAAGTTTCTGAAATCGCTCTGCTTGAGCCTGGGCTTCACTTCTGTTTTGACACGTCTCCGCACTTGAATAACCAAGATCCAAATTCTCAGGTAACAGAACGATACGACTGTGATAGGAACGAGAAAGTGAACTACCACCACAGAGATGGTGTAGGATGAACTAACTGTCTGGGCAAACGTACAGGAGTAAATACGGGCGTCGTACTGTAAGGATCCCACAAAGAAATTTGGCACGATTGCAAGCACTGTCAGTGTCCAAATTAAAACCACAAAGATCATGGTGTTTCGACAGCTGTATAACTTGTCATAAGTCAGGCTATGGCAGATGTAGCAGTATCGGTTTATCGCGATTGCTGTGATGTTGAAAATGGAGCCTATCACACTCAGCCCCATCAGAAAGCCACTCACGGTGCAATGAATATCTCCAAGAGCCCATCCGTTGTGAAAAATTGCAAATAGTACCAGTGGATATGGATATACAGCCACAACAAGGTCAGCAAAGGCCAAGCTTACAACAAAAACATTACCTGTAAGAGAATGAAGACAAAGCTGTTAATACAACTTAAAAAATCATTTTAACCCACAAATAAACTGGCACTTTATCTCCTGTATCTTTCAGCTACCTCTCCATAAAAAGAACCTCTGGCAACCTATGAACTATCCGTTTCTATTTGGTGAATGTATTACGTGAATGCTTTCTTTATAGAAGCCTCTTAGAAAGACAAGAAAATAAGTGCTGCAGTCTTTTTTTTCCAAGTTCGCTTAATACAAATGTTAACGAGTGTTAAAGCTGAACCTAGAGGATATTGGCTTGATTGTCTTAGCAAAGTGGTCAATACCTTTGCTTGTTAAAGCTTCTTTAGGGAAAACAGATTTCTAAAGAGTTGGCATCTTACTTTTCCATTTTAGAATAACTAATTTATTCACTTAAAGACGTAAGTGTAAAAAGAAATTGATAGAGGGCTATAAATGAACGAAAGATTTTTTTACTCAGAGATTGTCCCGACTCATTGCAATAATAATAAATAATAATACTTGTATTTGATATAGTGCATTCAAGTTGAGAGGCTGTCTCAAAGCACTTCACAAGGATTTACTGTAAAGTGTTGTAATTATATTTTGGAAGCAAAATGTGATAACCATTTTATGCCTAGCAATGTCCCGCAAATAGACCTGAGGTGAATAATCAATTTTATTTCAGGGATTGCTTGCTTGGGCACCTGGAGAAACTCTCTTCTCTTTATGTATAATGCCATGGGATCTTCAGTGCCCACCTGAAGGATACCATCTCCAACAATGGATTGAGTTGGTGTGTCAGGCTATGAGTTTATTATTCAAGCTTAATGTCCTGCCGATCTTTACTGGTCCCCTGTTCATTCACATGTTCCCAAATTGTATTCAAACCATTGAAAATATGGAAAATATTACAACAACTTGCACTTATATTAGCTCCCTCCACGCAGGGTAGCTTCTCAGTGCCTTAACAGTGGCAGAGCCTGACTCTGAGCCGGCGGGAGGTGGCCACAAGCACGGTTGAAGAGGAAAGTCTTCAGGTGGGACTTGAAAGAGGGTAGAGAGGAGGCAAAGCGGTGGGATTGAGCAAGAGCATTCTAGAGTTTCAGGGCATAGTGGCTGAAAGCGCAACCTCCGATGGTGAAGCAGAGGGACGAGAAGGGGGCCAGTGCCAGTCGAGTGGAGGCACTGGGTGGTGGATTGGGGAGTGAGGAGGTCCCAACAATTACAACCCCAACACAAATGTTACAAAAGAATATATGAAAATAATCACTAGAGAAGTTTTAAATGATTGACGGCTAAGATCAATTAAGTTTGAGCCAGGAAAATTTTTATCTGCTGTGCCTTCCACATTGGTGTTCCCACAAATATTTATAAAATGCTTTACAGTGATAAATTGTTTCTTCCAGGATTCACATTTCTGCTGACACATCTGTGCCATATAAATACACGAAAACTTACATAACTCCTATCAGTCAGGAACATAACATTTAATATGATTTACGAGAAGTCCGAGCTATAGACAAACTGTATAAGTCGAAGAAAATCTGATTTCATCAAAAATTGCCCCTTTGATTGTGTAATTCAATGCAGCCAGTAAATGCACAATATTTTTCATTGCCATTGGTAAGTGTGGATCCGGTGGTGGGTCAAGACTACGTTTCCCACGATTCGATGCTTCTTGATAATAACTTTATATAAATTCATAATAATTAATTGAACATTAGTTCTGGTGACAGAACGTCTGTGGCCAATGTGATTCCAGTTAACTATATTATCTGTCCAATTCAGTATTAAGAAACTCACATCACTAACCACCCATTGCTGCCAACTAATTTCAGGCATGAAATACGGATATCGGAGTTTACACAGAACAGCCACATCGGATTTTAATGCTATTATCCTGATGCAATATAAAATGAATCAAACTGACAGAGGACCAGTGTATGCCTCTTTCCACTTCAACTGTTTTGCTCAGTTAACACTTATGAAAAAAATATGCAACATTTAGTAATAGTGTGTGATAGTTTAAATCAATCTGCATCAACAATAACAACAACTTACACTTATATAGAGCCCTCCACCCAGGGTAGCGTCTCACAGCGCTTAACAGTGGCGGAACCTGACTCCAAGCTGAGTCGGGGAGAGATGGCCGTAGGCACAGTCGAAGAGGAAAGTTTTCAGGTGGGACTAGAAAGAGGGGAGAGAGGGGCAAGACAGAGGGATTGAGGGAGAGTGTTCCACAGTGTTGGGGTGTAGTGGCTGAAAGCACGACCTCCGATGGTGGGGTACAGGGTGCAAGCGACGAGTAGGAGGCCAGTGTCAGTCAAGCAGAGGCACTGGATGGTGGATTGGGGAGTGAGGAGGTCAGAGAGGTAAGGAGGTGCCAGAGAGTGAATTAATTTGAACACGAGTGTGAGGATCTTGATGTCAATCCATTCGGTGATGGGTAGGCAGTGTAGACTGGCCAGAACTGATGAGATGCCCCACCAGCCTCAACATCCAACAAATAATTCTCTGCAATTTCCAGCACCTCCAGCATGATACTACCACTAAACATATCTTTCTCTCCTCTCTCAGCATTCCGAAGGGACTGTTCCCTCCGTGACTCCCTGGTTCATTCTTCCATCACCACGAACAGCTGCTCTCCTCCCCCCAGCACCTTCCCATGCCAGCGCAGGAGATGCAATACCTGCCCTTTCACCTCCTCCCATACCACTGTCCAGGGCCCCAAACAGAATTTTCAAGTGAGACAGTGATTTACGTGCACTACCACCAGTGTAGTTTACTGCTTTCGGTGCTCAAGATGTGGTCTCCTCTACGCTGTGGAGATGAAACGCAGATTAGGTGACCAATTTGCTGAACACCTCTGTTCTGCCCGCAAGCACAACCCTGAGCTTCCAGTTTCCAACAAGATAATGTCAATAATGTGTATTAAGATTTTATATGGATTCTGTAAGTCCATTTTAGTTTAATTTTGAAATTGGTTGCAGTAGTATACTCAACAAAGCTTTATTCTTCTTAGCTATAAAATGATCTTTTCACAACTGGTGAAAGCTAGTAAGAATAAGGTGCTCAAAATTTAAAGGCAAAAAATATAAGAAATAATATAGCTACAAAAGATGCGTATCTGCCAAATTATTATTTAATATCTCATTCTTTATTATTCTTGTTTGAAACTGACAACAACATAGAGATTGGAAGAATGGTGATGAACATAGCAACAGATTAACACTCTAAGTAATGCCAAATCAAACAAAGCGGAGCCAGAAGAAAGAATTATCCCATGTACACAATCCAGTGCCTTGTTGTCTGCCAACCCACAATTATGTTCTCCAGGCAACAACACAACTTGCTTTTATATAGCGCCTTTAATAATAATAATAATCCTTGCATTTGATATAGCGCTTTTCACGTCTTCTAGACGTCCTAAAGCGCTTCACAGAATATACTGTAAAGCGAATTGACTGTATATTTGTGGGCGAACGCGGCAGCCAATTGTGCACAGCAATGTCCCACAAACAGTCGTGAATTGAAAATGACCAATTTATTATTGTTTTTGGTTTTGGAGGGATTATTATTAGGCGTGTGGAGTAAGGAAACTTGCCCAAGGTTTCGCCCTGCCTGGAATTGAACTCAGGTCTCTCGCTTGCAAAGCGAATGCTCTAACCACTGAGCTACAGGACTCCACAAATCACACAAGGTCATGTCTTGGCACACTTAACAGTGGTGGAGCCTGTGGGGAGGAAGGAGATGACTGTAAGCATGGTCAAAGAAGAAGATCTTGTGGAGTCCTATTGCTCAGTGATTATAGCACACGCCTCGCAAGCGAGGTGAATAAGGCGTGTGGAATAAGGAAACTTGCCCACATTACCCTGCCGGGAATCAACCCCAGGTCTCTCGCTTGCAAGTTCTCTAATCACTGAGCTACAGGTCTCCGTTCCACAGTTTTAGGGCTTAGTGGCTGAAAGCACGGCTGCTTATGGCGGAGTAGTGGGGAAGAGTATACGGCAGCAAAGGCGAATTGAGAAGACAGCACGGAGGGGAGAGATAGGGGATGGCACTCATAGTGTTATTTATTTGGTTGGACAAAAGTCCAAGCAACAGTAAGTGTTGGTATCAAACAAAGGTAAATGATAGTGAGTATCAGATAAGGTTAAAGATAGTGGTACCCTCTACTCCTTCCCAACCCAGAGGCAGTGCACATTCCAGAAGTGGCAAACAGATACTCTGTCCTTGTGAATTATCAACAGTACAAACTAAAGTATAGCAGCCTTTACAGGTGCCAGATTTGCAACCCGTCAAAAGCACAGCATTAAACATGGCAAATGTGCATTCTGATGTTGACATATCTGCTGGATGTATTGTTAAGGATATGACATAACAATTACAAAGCCACAGATTTATGAGTTAAAGGATCTGATCCACTAATTGTTTTAAGGCATGGAGATATAGCATAAATGACATAAAAAACATTTAGCTCCCACTGACAATTGGCAAAATACCCTAATTCAGCACATCAACCTTTCCTTCACACCATTGCAATTTCCAACATAATAATGTTCAGTTTTCGTATATATGTACTTGTATGAAGTTCAGTGTAAAACAAAAAATCACTTTGCATTCACTGGCGTTCACGATGCCACACCATAGAAATTTTGTACCTGAGAACATGAGGGTAGTTCTAAAATGATAACACCTCCCAACCTTTAGATGAGACATTAAACTGAGATCCTGTCTGCTTGTTCAAGTGGACGTTAAAGATCCCGTGATACTTTCAAAAAGAGAAGGGAGTTTCTCCTGGTATCCTGGTCAACAATCCCCCAGATAAACTTGGTCACTCACTCCATCCTGTTTGTGAGACATCGCTGTGTGGCACTGGCTGCCGCGATTGGTCCACAAAATGCACTTTACAGACAATCCACTTTACAGTATATCCTGTGAAGCATTCTGAGTCTCAATGATATGATTAGGAACTATATCAAATGCAAGGATTATTATTATTAGAATTCTT